ATCATCACAAAATCTGTACCGTAAATAACTGATCCACTAAATCACGTGCGAAATTAGTGAAATATCTTTACCAAATAACTGATCCACTAAATCACGCCCGAATTTAGTGAACAGTCATTTCCACACGGTGAAAACACAACCGCAGAGTGACATAGTTGACTGCGACGCAGCTAATCTTACATCCTTCCACTGAATACACGAAGTTCATCTGGTAATTATTTTTTCATGGTGTGTTTAGATCTAAATAATTTTTGGGACTCCATATTTGATTCTAATAGTTTTTTAATTATTCCAGTGGATATAGTTCAATGGACAATCACGATGATACTGGTGTATACTCCGAAAATGTAACCAATGAAAAGGCTAGGAATGACGATGACAAATGTGTCGATGATCAAATGCGCGATGGAATGGGTTCTAAACATGATAGTGAAATTTTCGATGATCCAATCACCATCATCAGTTTTACAACGGATGATGATGCTGAAAAATGGTACATCAATTACGCAAAGAATGCATGCTTCGATGTACGAAGATGCAGTCGCAAGACTACAAAGACGGGGTTCGTAAAGAATAGGCAGTGGGAGTGTTCATGTGCAGGATTTAGACGTAAAAAATCAGACGGAATACAATTAATTCGAAAGGAGAAACCAAACATGAGATGTGGTTGCAAAGCTGGATTACGTATTGCACATGATATCAGTGGCGGAGTGTACCGGATAAGACATTTAAATACGACACACAATCATTCTCTTGCGACTTCGGAAACAGCACACCGTCTTAAGTGAAACAGGTAACCAATTTTTTTTGGAACAAACATTAATGTAATTTTATTTTATGATGCCTATAATCGATCTTAGTATATCTTGCAGGCAAACACACATTCTGAAAAAACACAGTTGACGAATATGAATGATGCCGGCATTCGGACTTATCAGTCGTTGAATTACATTGGAAATATGTCTGGTGATTCTACAAGCATACATTACAAAAAGAAAAATGCTTACAACTACCTAAACAAGCAGAGGAAAGATACAATGCGCAACGGTGATTTCAATACTGTTGTTGCTATGCTTGAAGGAGTGAGGATAAACGATCCTAACTTGGTTGTTGAAACAACTTGTGATGAAGAAGGGAGATTAACCAAGATTTTTTGGTGCGACGGATTTTCCCAGGCATCATATATGCAATTTTGCGATGTTCTAATTTTTGACAGCACATATAAAACAAACACCTACAAATTCCCGCTGGTGATATTTTCTGGGATAGATAACCACCTAAATACCACAATATTTGGTGGGGCATTACTTCATAATGAGACCTCTGAATCATACGTCTGACTGTTAACGACGTTTATTGCGGCAATGAAAGGAAAGATGCCTAAAACAGTGGTGACTGATCAAGATGAGGCGATGCGAGCTGCGATAAAAAAGACCTTACCCGAAGCTCCTAAACACAAGCTATGTTCATGGCATCTCCAGAGAAATTGTGTCCAAAGAGTGAAGGTCCATGACTTTTGCAGAGTCTTCGGGAATTTCGTCACAAAAACTTTGACAACTGCGGAATTTGAAACAGAATGGGAAATGGAAACGTTGAAACATGGTGTAATATCCCGATATTTTATCGGTATAAATTATGTTATAGTTCCGATATAATAATGTGATCGTTTATTATTTTCAGAATTAATTATGTTCAGTCGAGATTACCGAAATTTATTTTCGGCGTACCGATTACGTTCGAAATAATTTTGGTAATTAAGTATTATGTTTAATTGAATAATTAAACATACTTAGTGATTAATTAAGCCAATTAATCACATAAGAAGCCCATTAGCCGTGAGATGATAAGTAATTGGTCCCAATTTTGGTATTAGGCCGTGAGCATGTGTGAACTAGGCCCAAATTAAGTAGTATGGCCTTAGGTTTTCTTCAAGGTTAAGAAAGTGAATTTTTCTCCTCATTTTCCTAAGGCTACGTGGCAAGTTTAGGGATGCTTAGTCATCTAAGGCCTCATGAGACTCAAGCAAGTGTCAAAGAAGGGAGGGTGCCACGCCTTGGCTACATCATCACCATCCCCACACGGCCTAATATATAAGGAGCATTTGAATCAAAATTTTCCCCACTTTTCCTAAGGGATATTCAGAATATATGTCCTCCTTCCAACAGCCACTAAACTCAAGCAAATCTCCCTAATTTTTTTTAATAAACATGCACGACAAAGAAGCATAAGCGCACGGCCAAGCAAGGACAAGGAAGCACGTTCCATTTTTCCATTTCGATCGAGCGATTGTCAAGGTATTTTCTTCCTCATGTTAGAATCATGTTAGTAAGATCAATTCTAGGTTAATTGTTCGGAGGATTTTCAGAAATTCTTAAGAAAATTCATGCTAAACTCGGTTAGCACTTAATAGTTCTATACCGAGTTAAGTTCAATTTGTTTCCGGCAAGTCCCGGGCATTTATCATTCATTTAGCCTTTATTATGTGTTTCATGTTCAATAAGTTCAGATTTGTCGAGGCAAAGTGATGTTTTGTCGATAAAAGGGCCCAAGCCGTCGCCAGCGCCTATCGCGCGTGGCCTCGGGTGGCCTCGGGCCGTGCCTTAGTGTCTTCAGTAAAGATCATGTTCAGCCGTGTGTTTGTGTCCTAATTGCTTTATATTAAGATTCATGTCAAGTTGTTCTGAGGTTGCCGAGTAAAAAGGGGTTGTGGCCGGGAGACGGCGTATAGCCGTCGGCGGCGCACGGCGCGCCCGCCGCGGCCCTTTCATGTTCATTGTGCAGCGATTTCGTTTTCAGGTCATGATTGATAAATACATTCATGTTAAGTCAGGTTAGGTTCAGTGATGTTAAGTTGGTCGAAGGTTGGCCGTAGGCCGAAGGCCTCGCACGTAGCGAGCCTACCACAGCCGTGTGATAAGTCCAGTAAGTAAGTTCAGCAAGTTTCCTTGTGAAGTCAGTACAATGTTCATGTTAAGTCAGAAAAAGGGTTAAG